ACTTTAAGCAAGTAATCAAGTCTAACTCCTAGAACATGCTCACATTTCCATTTCTAGATGTTTGAGTACCAAGTATTTCAAAAAAAAAAAGTGTTATATCACGCAGGCATACTGTATCGTCCACTGCACTAAACTAAGGGGCTCGGCAGAGAGAAAACCGAAGAAAGACAAGGCACAGAGGGGGGAGAAAGTACCTCCCTGAAGCAAAGAAAAACCACACAGAAATTTTCAAAGCATTCCTCCACTTCAATCCTTCTTTCAACAGTAAGAGGAAACCAACCCAAGTACAATAGGCTAAAGAAGTAAGCGAGAGAAGAAAATGACAGAGTTCCCCCGCACCAAACAGAGTATCATATAAACCAGAGAGAATGAGAGGGAATGATTAGGGGATCGCATACGGATCGAAGGATCGAGAGGAGCAGACGCCTCCATACGGGCGTGCGAGAGGCAGAGGATGAGATCCTCGCAGAGGTTGAGATACGATAAAGAATGGGTCACGGGATCGTTCTGCGTGCGCGAGGCGAGCACGGGAACGAGACTCCAACGACACGAAGGAGACACAAAGGAGCGGGCTAGGTGAAACCGAGCGAACTGTGGCTAGTGCAGAGGTCCACGAACGCGAGAGGAAGAAATGGGAGAGGGGAAAATGAAATTAGGTTAAGGATTTTTAATATAAGTTATTAATTATAATAATAATAATAATAATAAAATATTATTTATTATTATAATTAACACTTAAATATGTATTTTCCGAAAGACGCGCCGTCGCAATGAAACGAACGTCCTTCAAAGGCAAAATCGATGTTCCGGACGCATCGGCGCAGTCCATTTCGTCATTCGGAGTCGTCTGGGCAACCTCGTCGTCGATCGGGTCAAAAACGCGTCGCGATTCGAATTCTATCAAAATTTCGGTATGAGTTCAAGCAAACAGGACGGTGCAGAGGATGATGACGCCAAATCAACGAGTACAGTCAATCCTAAGGCCGACAGTACTATAGGAATACTCTAGCCTTACCTGCTAAGCAATAACGGTCAAAACTAGTATATGGAACATCAAGTCGAGCGAAGAAAAGTTCAGAATTGCTAACGGGGAGGGCTCCTTCACTAGTTTTTTAGGAGTGGTCGACAAAAATGTACTACGGCTAGATCCTAGTCTACTAAGGAGGAGAAAACTGCACCTCGACCGAAAGCGAGGTCAACAACTACTTAATTGAGTTGCATGACATGGAAGAGATACAAATTGTGTAATTATCAAAGATTCCGACACCGATCCAACAACTCTTACACTTTGCATAAAATTTTTAGTTACCACGTGGATTCACGCCTGTGAGGGAGCACGAGCATGCAAAAATTTCAAGACTAGGGGTTTTATCCCATAAATGTACATCCCTTTCGCTACCCCCAAGTATAAAAGGACGAGATTGAGAGATTGGTCCGAGAATGGAGGTTGAGATCATAGCTCAGTGTGAACCCTTTCTCTAGCCTACTCTTGTGGTAAAAAAAAAGACGTGAGTTGGCGTTTCTATGTAGATCATAGGGTAGTGAATAAGAAAACAATACCTTACAAATTTTCCATCCATGTGCTTGATGAGCCACTGGATGACTTGTTTGGGGCTGCGATATTCTCTGAGATTGATTTGAAGTCAGGATATGGATGTGGTCGACTGATGTGCATAGGTTCAAACTCATGAGGGTCGTTATGAATTTCTGGTTATGCCATTCGGGATCGCACGCTGGCTACATTTCAGATGAATAAGGTGTTTCAGCCTTTCCTTCGGTGTACAACTGTTTCTTGGAAGATCATATTGATCATTTGAATGTGTTGACGGTACTCGGTGAGCACCTGCTTCATGATAACTTAATGAAGTGTTCATTTGTCCAGTCAAAGGTGGAATACTTAGGACATGGGGTGTCGGCTGTAAATGTGTCAATGGAGCTATTGAAGGTGGCGGCTATGTTGAATTGGCCACTACCTTTGGCCTTGAAGGGGTTGAGACTATTTTTGGGACTTACGGGATATTATTTGAAGTTTGTGAAGTGTTACAATTTGATTGCATGTCTGTTGATAGATCAACTAAAGAAAGATAACTTCCAGTGAGGGGAAGCAGCGACCTAGGATTTTGAGAAGTTAAAGAAGACCCGATGGTACTTGATTTCAACCAACCATTCATTGTATATACAAATGCTTCAGGCTATGGGTTAGGCGCAATTCTCATGCAGCGCCAACGACCTCTCTTATTTCAGTCCAGTTTTGACAACGAGGGTCAGATTCAAGTCAGTTTAAGGGCGGGTGCTCATGACAACTGTGCTTGTCAGTCAGAAATGGCTTCCGTATTTGTTGGGAAGTTGTTTTAGAGTACACACGGATCAACACAATCTTAAATTTTTGTTAGAACAACAAATGGTGATTGAAAAACATCAATGATGGCTGTCTCAAATGTTGGGGCAATATCATCGAGGATTAGAGAATAAGGTCGTTGATGCCTTATCACAACATCTGGAGGAAACTCATTTGTTGGCATTGTCAATTCCTTTGGTTTTAGATTGGGATGTCTTAAGGAAAAATAATGAGGCAGATGAAGAATTGAACAAGATCCAGTCAGCTTCAGCGAATGGAGAGAACAACTATCCCTTTTATTTATTGAATGGCCAACAATTACTTTAACAGAGACACTATCTAATGCTCTGGATTCAAGGAAAGTACCGAAGTTAGTATATAAGTTTCATGGCAGCTCTCTTAGGGTCATTTGAGAGTGCTTAAAACATACTGGAGGATAGCGACAAAATTGTATTCGGTGGGAATAAGAAAAGATGTGGAGCACATGGTTTCAAGGTTTGATGTGTGGCAACGACACAAGTACATGGTTTTAACACCGGGGGGTTGCTGCAACCTCTAGCATTATCAGAGAAATTGTGAGGATGACGATGGATTTACTGAACGCTTATCTCAGTCATAAAGATTTACAATCATCTTGGTGGAGGTGAATTAGTTGAGCACGTACGCACACTTTATAGCTTAACACCATCCCTACACTGTTGTTTCTATCGCAGTGTTTTTTATAAGGGAGGTTGTTCGTTTGCATGGGATCTCCGAATCGATAGTGTCAGATCAGGATAAGGTCTTCTTGAGTCATTTCTGAAAGGAGCTGTTTAGAATGCAAGGAATTGTGTTAAAAAAAGTTATAGCATACCACCCACAAACTGATGGGCAGTCAGAAGTTGTTAATGGAAGCGTGGAGACCTATTTGTGATGATTTGTCTTCGATGCACCTAAGTAGTGGGTGAAATGACTATCTTGGCCAAAGTGTAGATACAACACATTATATTATACAACTTTTCAAACTATCCCTTTTAGAATCTTGTATGACTGTGATCCATCTCACTTGGTGAATTATAGACACAATATTATGTTGGTTTCATTGGTGGATAAGTACTTAAAAGAGAGGGACAATATGTAGGCAGAATTGAAGGGACATCTGTTGAAAGCACAACTTATGAAGAAGCGTGTCGATGGACATTGAAGGGATGTGCCATTTGCAATAGGAGATAGGGCTTATTTAAAATTTTGGCTTTATCGGCAGAATACATTGGTTAGACGCAAGAATGAGAAGCTTTACCCATGCTATGTTGGCCCTTATGCGTTCACAAAGCGCAATGGGGACGGGGCTTGTCATCTAAAATTGACACCTTTATCGACACTTCATCCAATTTTCCACGTATCGTAGCTGAGATGTGTTATTGGCGATAATGTGCCTTCTTCTTCACTTCCCCCTACCTTGACAGAGGATATGCAAGTTCTTTTGGAGCCACTGGAGCTAAATGAGGTGTGCCAAGAATCAACAGGGGGGAATAAGTGTTGATTAATTGAAAAGGGATATCAGATTATGACACCATGTGAGAGTCATACGACTTGATCCAACAACGGTCTCCTCTTTTTCACCTTAAGGTTAATGTATCTTATTGGGAGGGGAGCAATGTTTGATCGTCACAAAAGGCGCTTTCCGCCACATCGAGCCTGCCAATTAAATTGAAGACTTATTTTAGGCTCAAGGCTAAAATGACACTTTAGTCATTTATTATTATTATTATTTGATATAAATATGTTTATTATGTTTAGGATTGGGCATGTTTGTTATTATTATTCAGAGTCTTAGGAGTTAGGATTTGGTAGAGCTCACCTATCTCTTGAATTGTAGGTGGTTATCTTTGTGTCTTCGGAATTGTAATTGGTGATTTGCTTTCAGTGTAATAAAAGTATATTATATCTGTTCTAATTCCTATCACATGGGATATAGTCTCTTTGGTAAAAAATTAGGGCTTTGGATATGAGATGATCATGATAATTGTGTGTGGGACAAATAGAAAAAATGAGGCTTCAGGGGTAATATAAAATTATCATGTCCAGTTTGTTTGAAGGAAATGAATTTACTTTTATTATTACCATTATGTTATGCATGTTAAATAAAACAAGTAGCTTGGTACAATTTGACATTTTGCTTCCAAAATACAATGCAGAATGTAAACTGCCTAGTTTTACCATTTTGCCGAACTTTTTCTTAGTGTCTTCGGAATTGTAATTGTTGATTTGCTTTCAGTGGAATAAAAGTATATTATATCTGCCCTAATTCCTATCACATTGGTTATAGTGTCTTTGGTCAGAAATTAGGGCTTTGGATATGAGATGATCATGATAATTGTGCGCGGGACAAATAGAAAAAATGTGGCTTCAAGGGTAATATAAAATTATCATGTCCAGTTTGTGTGAAGGAAATGAGTTTATTTTTATTATTACCATTGTGTTATGCATGTTAAATTAAGCGAGTAGCATGGTACAATTTGACACTTTGCTTCCAAAATACAATGCAGAATGTGAACTGCCTAGTTTTAGCATTTTGGCGGACTTTTTCTTAGTAAGACTTGTTCAGTTATTGCTATTATCATTTCACGACTTGTTTAATGAATATTTCTATTTTTGCTAAAAAAATTTCCTTTGAATGCAGGGCGACCTTCGTGCCTTCTTAAAAAGAAAAGGGGCCTTAAAACCGTTATTGGCTGTAACTTTTGGACTGGATATTGCAAGGTTTAGTAACTTTTCTATGCTTACTTAGTTGGAAGGTTTGCCGCAGCCACTTCCACATAAAAACGTGAATGAATCTTCCAATATTGCACCTATTAATTTTGACATAAATTGGAATGCTTAGAATGCATTTTTATATGAATTGTTGCTGTTATCTGTTTTTCTCAGGGGAATGAATTACTTGCATGAACATAAACCCGAAGCAATCATCCACCGTGACCTAGAGCCTTCGTAAGATTACCAGTGCATCTTTTTTGCTTTTCTTGTCTGGTTCACCATATTCTTCTATCTATTTACTTGAATATTCTAAAGATAAAGTTTTTTCTACACTCATTGCAAGAATACAGAAATATATTGCGGGATGATTCAGGACTACTGAAGGTTGCAGACTTTGGCCTAAGCAAGTTGCTGGACATGACGAAATCTATCAGAGAGGACAGACCACTGGTTTGTGAAGACAATGGCTGTGAGTTGTTGCAGCTGATCTGGTTTTACCCTCTCAAAATGTTAATAACTGTATTTTATCATCTAAATTATGTGGGCCTTGTTTGGAAATGCTTCAGATGCATTTTTTTAAATAAAACTGACAAATCACCATTGTTTAAAGGAATGCTTGAGTAACTTGGATAGAAGTTGTTCATAATAATTTCTAAAGAATAATTTTAACACTCCGAAAACATTTAACAGTAACAAATTAAAAATGATGATTCCTAAATCTAATCTTAAATTATAGTAGTGCTAATGATGGTGATAGTGGGCACAAATGTATTAGGAAATGTGTGACAAAAAGTGCTAACTTGGACATTTACGTCCTCCAGGCCTGATGACTAAATAGATTTCACAAGAATGAAAGAGAATTGATTTGGTATTTCAAATATTTTATGTAATACTTTTGCAATATTTGGAGAGATTCTAACAAGAAACCTAGGAAATTTTGGAATAATAGTTATAACAGTCCATAGATTGATGAGTAGATAGAATAATATTTGTAAAATAAGCTGTAGAGATCCACAAATCAATGAGGTGATTGTGAAAGAAGAAGGAATATGGCACGCTTCTTGGTAAATATTGGTCCAAACTGGCGAAAGTTTTGAATGTGTGAGAAACTACTTTGTAGCCGGATATATGGATGTCATCTATTTGAAGTTTGCCTGATAATTTTTGGAAACTGCTCCTGTTATCTTTTGGTGAGAACCTTAATAAGTTGTTCTCTTATGATTACGAAGAGAGTACAGATTAGACCACTATCAAGTTTCTTCTTTATCGGGTGGCCATCAACTTCATTATGTATTGTATGTTCACGTTGCACGGGATTATATGCATTATTGATGGTTGACTTCTTATCAAGCTAGAACTTTATAGGATATTTTCATTCAACATTTAAGTTTTTCAAGATGTTTTAGCCATAGCATAATCCATTGAGTTTTAGTGCCATTAATATAATTTTAACTTTTTTGATTGATCTTGCTATCACATGTTTGCTTTTACTTATCCAATTCATGTGGTTGTCTTATAACGATGTCCAGTATTCTAAAGTTAGCTTCTTGTCAACCAAAGAATCCACAAAATCGACATCTATGTATGCTTCATGATTAAAATTCTCCTTTTTTTTTAATGGAATTGTTTTGTCCAAGCTTTACAGGCTGTACGGGGTGTTTCTTAGGATTATATAAACTGATTCATCACACTACTAATGTAATGTAGGCAATGTTAGGTCAAATATTTGATATGTAAATGATCATTTATTTATTTAGTTATTTTTTGTTGAAAGCAGGTTTTCTATATATATATGACAATTCCACATGTTATTTATTTATTTACATTAAACATAAAAACATGCCCATGTGTTTTCCTAATTACAATTATACTGTGTCACCGTCTCCTTTTCATCTAATGTTTGTTCTGTCCCATTTTCATGTTTGTGCTTCATGTTAATATTTTACCATCCTAAACTTGATATTAACAATTGTGGAAAGTGTTCTAAATATTTTTTTATAATGTAAAATTCCTCTTCAATCAAGTTCTTCAAATGGAGCTAACTATTGTCACAATGTTAATGTCGAGAATTCCTGTTTAATTATGATGTCCATCCCTGGAAAACATTTGGGAACATGGACTAATGGATGATATTAACTATGTAGTTTCTGGAAAATAGTGATGTTCTGATTTTTTAACTTTTTGAGAGAGAAGATCGACGCCCATGGTTTAGATGCTGTTATTAAAACGCTTGTTAACTTGTTTTCTATTTCCTCTAGAAGCTCCATTGCAGAATGCAGATAAAATAATATTTATTCTTTTTTGTTGGAGAACTATTTTGTTTCAGATTGGTTGCTGTTTTGAATCAACGTAATTTTAGTTCTATAAGCATTTAAATTACGCTGCTAGTAGTAACCATTGAATTTGCAGTTTATGTTTTTGTAATGCTGTTTTTTTTATTGAACAGGCAGGTATGTAGCTCCAGAAGTATTTCGAAATGAAGAATATGACACAACAGTGGATGTATTTTCTTTTGCTTTGATTCTTCAAGAGGTGCATTGCATTGAATTTCAATTTCATGTTCTTCAGTTGAAATCAGAGAGAGAAACTATTCCTCTTACTAGCTCTCATACCTCTAAATGTGTTCTTCATAACTTGTGAACTGATTGCCCCCTTCACTTTAACCATGAATGGATTGCTCTTTTTTTCCCCCTAGCTTAATCTTAGTGATAAGGATGCTGATTTCGCTATTTTAATTTTCTAAAGGTTGGTTTGAAGTTTTTATGATTTGATTTTTGTTATCATGAAATTCGTACAATCAAGAGAAGTTAATTGTTCGGTTTGCACAATTGATGGTGAAGAATATCTCAATACCATAAAAATGTCCTAATGTAGTCGTTATTATTCTGTTTGACATATTTCATCAATGGTTGTAAGCATCTATCTCTGTAGAATTCTTCTGAATATAATTTAGATATGAATCAAGATGACTAAAAATATTGTTTGAAATTTCTAGATGTCAACTTTAAGGAATTGCTCAATTGTCAGCATTATAAACCAGTATCTTTAATTCATCTAGTATCATCTCTGTAAGTTTGAAATTTTTGTTACTTGAGCTGGGCTAATCTATGAATATTACTATTGTGACGATTTGAGCTCTACAGATGAGGTATTAGTTTCTGTCCATGATTAGCATGACATTAAGTGTTTGAAATTATGTCTGTGCAAGAGTCAGTGCGATCTACAGTAATGGATGACACTTGAAAAAAAGAGCTAGATTCTGTGCTACTTTTAGAGATTATTGTTGATTTTGAGAGATATAAGGTGACTACAAAATGACTTGCAATTGGTTTTATTGCTTTCTTCTTTAATATGAGCTTAAATGATTGAGTTCAGTTTTGCTTCCGCTATATAAATACACTACCAAGAGGTCATTTCACGTATAATAAATTAGGGACAATTCTTAGTTGTGAGCACTTGCAATAGTGCACATTACGGTAACATAATTATGATTAACTGCTTAGTAATGTGTCTATGCAACGCTTTGTCATATCATCATCATCTTCCTTAGGATTGTGCTCCTAACTTCTCGGGGGAAGTTTCAAGACAGTTTTTTTCCATTCATTCATGTTAATTGTTGAATTTAGTTTGCACAAAATTATTGTGCATCTTTCGGCTCAACTGACCCCCACAAGTGTAACATAAGTGTTACGTAAGCGGATGATTTAATCAGACTCAATTTTCACCGACACCCTTCCTGATGTGTACCAATCAGGATCGATTGAATGGAGAATGAGTCCTACCTAATCGTCATGAACAAATTCATACATTTCATTTTATTAAATATTCATTGATATTAAACATAAATCAAGAGGCATGTATAAATATATCTATAATAAGATATGTTGTTTCTATAACACTTAAATACGAAATCAACATATCTAAGAATCTACTATCATCACCCAAAATTTTACATTCAAAAGCTATAAAAAAATGACAAGTCACCTGGCTTACGATCCACTTGCTTCTTACTCCTTCCAGAATTGTAATATTATAGTAACTGAGAAGTTACACACTCAGTGAGATAAATAATGTTAAAATAAGTTTCAAACATGTAAGAAGAAAAATAATATGTATGTTGGTCAGTGGCTAACACGAGTAACATGCTTTGATAATCTATATTAACAACTAAACATTTGATTTGATAATCAAATAGAAAAAAAAAATGCTTATAAACGATGTAAGGAATAGCTTTCATAAATAAACTTAATTATCATTGATAAGTCATTCAAGTCACTATAATGTGCAAAGTTATATATGGATTTGCTTCACTTCTATCTTTTTTTTTATTCTCAATCTTCTCTATTTTAATTAAGTTGTATTATATTTGTGTAGATTTTTACTAGTTTCATTTCATTCTATTGGGTCTGTCACTCAGCTCGTTGGTCATAATAATCATTGATAAAAGTTGGTCATCCCAATGCTGTATTTCTCAATGGCCCCACAATACTGATGGGTCCTCTTCAACTTTAATATTAAGAATTTGATCATTTCTCTATTAAGGCTCATCTTATCTTGGGCATTTCATCAGTATAATTGTCTATTTATCACAACATACCTGATATTTTTTCGATCTAACATTATCAGTTATAATTATTTTCATATTCATTAATTATTAACCTGGCTGTATTTGCAAAAAATCACTTTATTAATATGAGCAATAATATAAAGTAACAGGTAATAATCAACAATTTATGCTTAATAACTATGCTCAATATGAAAGAATTTTTAAATGCATGCGTAAAAAATAAAATTACTAATAAGCAGTAATGAGCATTAGTCATATAGAGTATATTTGATTCTTAATTTAACAATATTTCATTTGGGCTGATCAGCCTTGCATTGAATTTTTTTTCCTACACATCTCGAGCTTGCCTCCTTGCGTTAGTAGTCTAGAAATAACAACTTCATTAAAATTTGAAATTCTTAAAATTTAATCTCAATTTTACACGAATTTCTCCTCAGTTAATTGTTTTACTAGGACTTGACTTCTCCTCATACAAGCTTTTTCTTCATTCTTCCGTATATATTGGCTTTCTCTCCAAATTGCCTACTCGAGAGCTGTAATTCAGGAAAAACAGAGAGTGAAAAGGGTTTCCTCATATTTCCAAGCTTCCAAAGTGTTTCTAATTACTGCAATTTTCCTCCAAAATTCTGACAGCTAATACCTGCTGTAACTACAGATTTGGTCAGTTGCAATTCAAAGCAAATTTAGGAGGTTTATTTGGTTTAGTTTAATTTAATAGGTGTGTGTGTACATAACACGCGCGCGCGCACACACTCACACACATATATATACTTATTTATTAGAAGTTATATTAGGAAAAAAAATTTTCCTGTTAGAAATTATAAGGATTTGATTTATTTTTTTTTCTTATTTTAGGCTTTCCTATTTTATGTTGTTTCGTTATAAGGATTTGATTTATTTTTTTTTCTTATTTTTGGCTTTCCTATTTTATGTTGTTTCTTTTATCTACAAGCAATTATTATAAATTGATTAATTGGAGATATTGGTGTTATACCTTTCATTTGATATTATTTCTTTTTTCTTGTCTTTTCTATTCTAGAATTTATGTATGGATATTTATACCCCTTTTTCATATCAATAATACAATTCCGCTAAATTTTGAAAATCAACATGATATAAAAGCCTTGAAAAAAACTCTAGAGTTGTCTACCGTTGAAAATTTTTTTACCTTGCAGCCGACAATCTTTGTCATGTTGCAGGCCTTTTCTCCGCCTTCTCTTTTCAGTTTTTCGCCGAAAACTTTTTCTCCCTGCAGGCCCCGCCGCCAGAATTTCCTTCTGCAGCCCTTTCCACTGCCGGAGTTCCCTCTTGCTGGCCCTATACCTCGAAAACTTCATTTCCGGGCAGACCCTAGCTGTCGGAACTCCTTCCTGCAAGAACTACCTTCAGGAACTCTCTCCGTGTAGTTCCGGAGCAGCCAAAAATCCTCTCTACTGCAAGGGTGAACTTCTTGGTGGGTGTGATATTTTAGTTTCCATTCATGAAAGTTGAGAATTGATGGTGTTTAGAGATCATTGAATTCCTCTTATTTCAAAGCACAACTTGCCATCTCCTGGAGCTCAAGGATTTGGGAGGGGTGGGATAGCTGGCTCCACAACTCTCAATGCTGCATTAGCATCTCGACTGGGAACTCTCATAAACTCGAGTTATGTTGTGTTTTTCATAAAAAAGAAACCTGAAGAGCTTAAGTGTGTTTTTAGTAGCAAGGTTGTTGATCCACTCAAGCAGGAGAAGGTTGATTTTCAGAGATTTGATGTGCTTTCTGATGATGAAGTTAGGCATGTGTTCTTTCTTTTTATTTTTTTTCTTGCAGGCCATACTCTGCAGCTTTCTGTATAAGTGCTCTTTCTTTTTATCTGCAGGTCATACCCTACAGCTTTCCCTGCATGTGTTCTTCTTTTTTTGCTGCAAGATCATGCCCTATAGTTTTCCCTACAGGTCATACTCTGCAGGTGTTTTCCTTTTTACCTGCAGGACCATACCCTGTAACTTTCCCTGCAGGTGTTATTTCTTTTGCCTGTGCTTTCCCTAGAGGTGTTTTTTCCCTTTTAACTGCAAGCTATACCCCACAAATTTCCCTGTAGATATTCTTTTTTTTCCGGCAGGTCATACCCAGCAGCATTCCCTGCAAGTGTTCTTCATTTTACATATAGGACCATACCCTGCAGCTTTCCCTGTTCTTTTTTACTTGCAAGCAATTCCCTACAACTTTCCTTGCACGTGTTCTTTCTTTTCCCTGCAGCTACTTTTCCTGTAGGTTATTTGCTTCCCTGCAAACTTCCCTACAACATTATTTGTAGAAGTTTTCGGCCTACCTACAAATTTTGCAGAAACTACAGTCATAGACGATTACAGTCAACTAAAAATATCTCTAAATGCTCTTGGGGTTGATTATCAAGTGCGACATGAATACTTTAAGTTCTACCTCACAAAGAATCTTCCTCGTCTGATATTTCGAATCCAAGTTGAACATGTTTTTCAATCATGTTTCAACTTGAGAAAGC